AGTAACCTAGGTTAAAAAACAGAGCACAGGTGAGCATGGCTAATTCCTGCTGATTAAGCCAAGACTCTTGTTCCATAAATAAGGGTCGTGCTACTACCTATAGCATAAATGAGGTCTAGGGAACTCCAAGGCTACTAACAGTAGCGAGGATAGAAACATAAATGAGAGAGAATCATTCTTATGCTTTAGGCCCCCCTGCTTCATAGGTGAAAGCCGCTTTGGCACCCACAAGTGGTGCCTGCTAAGGTCACCAGGCCTCGGGAATGCAATGATGGAAGAGGGAAAGCTGGGAGGGGCTGTGGGGGGTGGGGAGGGAACCCAGAAGCCCAACATACTGGCAAAAGGGTAACGTTTTAGTACCATCCGGGCTTTTAGCCGCCCTGTCTCTCTGCAAACTGCTAAAAGGCCTCGGGATTTTTGAGCTGTCCTTACCCTCCCCAACCTTGTTTCGTTTTAATACATGTTTTCTAATAACCTGGTTTGTCTCTTCTCAACTTCAGGCCATCAAACTCCAAATGATCACGCAACCAGAGCCTCAGCTGATGGCCCCTTCTTCCGGGGACCCTCAGATCGGTCTTGAGGGAGCTCTGACTGCCATTTCCCCAAAACAACGCCCCCTGTCAGCAGGAGGCTAGGATGGGTCTTGGTCCTTATCCCTATTTTTTTTTTTTTGAGACAGAGTCTCGCTCTGCCGCCCAGGCTGGAGCGCAGAGGCCGGATCTCAGCTCACTGCAATCTCCGCCTCCTGGGTTTACGCCATTCTCCTGCCTCAACCTCCCGAGTAGCTGGGACTACAGGCGCCGGCCACCTCGCCCAGCTAGTTTTTTGTATTTTTTAGTAGAGACGGGGTTTCACCATGTTAGCCAGGATGGTCTCGATCTGACCTCGGGATCCGCCCGTCTCGGCCTCCCAAAGTGCTGGGATTACAGGCTTGAGCCACCGCGCCCGGCCGGTCCTTATCCTTTCTAACTGCAGTCAGATGTACTTCTTCAGAGAGGGGTATGAGACAGCCAGGTGTAAGGGGCCCCAGAACACTAGGAGACTGGGGTGGAGCCACAGAATTAGTGCCCTTTGCAGGGAGGAGGAGCCTGGCCCCTCCTGTTCCAGGGTGGAACCTAGGATTCAATCTGTGAGGTGGGAAACTGACTAGCAGGAGTCTTGCTCCGCTGAGGGTCCGTTTCTCCTTTGTTCCCAATTTTTCTCACCCTTCAAGTGTCTTCGAGCCTAATATTTCATGGCCTTGTAACAAGAACCCTGTCTTTACCTGAACTAAGAAGAAAGTCCTACAACATTAGAATAGATCCCCTTTCTTAATCCTGAGGAGCCATTAACAGAGCATCTTCCTGGACTTGCTCAGCTCCCAAACGCAAATCTCCCCTCCAGTCAGGATCCTGTCATAGAGGTAAGTTTGTGCATGAATTCAGGCTACAGGCAAAGTGTTTACCCATAAGAAGTCACTCTGTACCTCTGCAAGACAATTCATAGTAAGTTCATTACACATCTGGCTGTAGTTGTGCCCTTGAGGACTGCTAAATAGATTTAGAGCACTTTATCTCTTCTGTCCCTCGTTTTTCCAATGGTGTACACATAAGCCATTAGAAAGAAGCACTTTTAAAAAGCATTCAATAAAAGGAAACCCAGCCCTATAACATGCAAATACCTTCAAGGCCAAAGCTAACTGAGTCTGTTTGTTAGGCAAATGAAGCTAACTGAGTCTGTTAGGGAAATGCTCTCTGAAGGTACCCTTCCTCCTCTCTGGAGTATATCTGACATCTCTATTGTTTTACTCCACAGCACTCAGAAACTACAAGTCATTTACCCAATATCATTGAGAATCCTTACAAATACAGCATTTTAGCATATGCTTCAATAAAACACATTAGATATAGCTAGAATTTTTAAAAGGTGATTACGGCTGGGCATGGCGGCTCACGCCTGTAATCCCAGCACTTTGGAAGGCTGAGGCAGGTGGATCACTTGAGGTCAGGAGTTTGACACCAGCCTGGCCAAAATGGCGAAACCCCGTCTCTACTAAAAATACGCAAAATTAGCTGGGCATGGTAGGCGCCTGCAATCCCAGCTACTTGGGAGGCTGAGGCAGGAGAATTGCTTGAACCTGGGAGGTGGAGGTTGCAGTGAGCAGAGATCGCGCCACTGCACTCCAGCCTGGGAGACAGAGCGACACTCAGTCTCAAAAAAAAAAAAAAGGTGATTACACATGGACAGACCTTTCACTTTTTAGAGTAATCCTGGCCTAGGGCTTCTCAGCTACAATACATATTTCTTTAACATGGACTATTTCTAGCCTGTGGTGCCCACAGACAGCTCAGCTGCCAAGATCGCACCAACTCTCCTTCCTCTGGGACCCAATGCCCAACATCTCAGGCATCAGTGAAGCCTCCCACAAGACCCTGCTGGCTCAAGATCCTTTGCCAATTTGCCTAATCCCTTCTGCTGGCAAAGGCAGTAATGCCACAGAGGCCAGATCTGCATTAGTCAAAAACTTGCTTATCAGGGGCTCACTTAGAGCCCCCAAAAGCACTTGCCTGCTCTAACAAATACTGTAAAAAGAAGTAAGTAGGCTCAACAGACAAGTCTCACTGGGATTTGACCATGCTACCAGATGAAAACACTGGTAGAAAACACCTCAATAACCACAAAGCGATTTCCTCACAGCTCTGTCTCTCTCTCTTGTCTTTTTAAATTAAATTTTATTTTATTTTTATAGATGAGTGGGCTTGAACTCCTGTGCATAAGTGATCTGCTTGCCTCGGCCTCCCAAAGTGTTGGGATTACAGGCGTGAGCCACCATGCCTGGCCCTGATTTTTTTTTTAAAGGGGTTGTTTCCATTTCATTACAATTCTGAGTGCCTTCAGTGTCCAACGCATTTTCTAGGTGCTGAAAATACCAAAAAAGTATGATGTAATCCTTGCCCTCAATGAGTTTATGATCTGTGTGTGTGTGTGTGTGTGTGTGTGTGTGTGTGTTCACAGCTTAACTGAGGGATATAGTTGGCCCTTCGTATCCCTGGGTTCCACATCTGTGGATTCAACCAACCACAAATCAAAAATATTTGAAAAAAATGGATGGTTCCATCTGTACTGAACATGTACAGACTTTTTCCTTGTCATTATTCCCTAAACAATACAGAGTAACAACTATTTACATAGCGTTTACATTGTATTTGGTATTATAAGTAGTCTAGAGATGATTTACAGTTTATGGGAAAATGTGTGTAGGTAATATGCAAATACTATGCTATTTTATACAAGGGACTTGAGCATCCATGGATCTTGATATCTGTGGGGGGTCCACGGAACCAATCCCCCCAAAATACAGAGGATGACTGCCCTGTGGCTTGCTTGTTCTAAGGGGCATAGCCCACAGGGGGAGTCCATGAGGACTGCAAGGGTCTGGGAAGGCTTCACACACATTTTTGCTGGGCCTTGAAGGGAATGGAACTTCAGCAAGCAGAAATAGAGAAGGAATTTTTGAGGAAAAAAATATATGTGAGAACAGGCAGGGAGGGGATGGTGCTGTGTGCATTCAATGTGCTGACACGCTTGGGGAAAATAAAGTGGTGACCTGCGACATTGCTAACTGGACAGTAGGCCTCAAAGACAGAAAGGAGAGATTTGCTGCATTTTGAGCAGAGTCTCTCAGGTCCACACTTTCAATGCCTCTGAATCAAACGTGCTGACTTAAGATCTTAGCTGCTTCTCTCTGATTCTGTCCTTGTCTTTCAATGTGGCATAAAAATGGCACCTTCTTGCGGTTACAAGGCAGGCACTAAGGACATACACTCAATTTACAGTTCTGAGAAAGTGTTTCCGTGGATACAGAAACGCTGGCAAAATAAGAAAGGCATGCCACCTTCCAAATATTTGTTTTTGTTCCCAAACACCCCTGTTTTTCCCAAATCATATAACTGTAAGAAAATTATAAATCTTTTAAATCCCTGTACAAAGACTCCCAAAAGTATTCTTCAAGTACACTACTAGCAGTATCGTGAATATTCATTCATTCATTCATTCATTCAATTAATATTTATTATGCACCTATCACATACGAGGCACTGTTCCAGGTGCTGGAGATACGACAGAGAACACAACAGATAAAAATTCCCACCCTCATGGAGCATATAGTCTAGCGCACAGAGACCGACAATAAATGAAATAAATACATAAAACAGATAGTGAGATGTGCTGGGGGAAAACACTGTGGGAAAGGAGCGCAGGTGGCACCTGTGCCTTTCGAGTATGTGCTTGAATGAAGAGAGGGACGGAGAGCCATGCAGACAGCTAGGAGGAGCGCATTCGAAGCAGGAGGCACAGCAAGTGCGGAGGCCCTCAAACACACTCAACCTGGTTGCAGGAACTGCAAGGAGGCCTGCATGTCTGGAGCTGAGTGAGGGAAGTTGAGAGGAGTGCAATGTAAAAACAGAGATGTAACAGTGACCAGAAGTCTCAGGGAGGAGAGTGCAGTTTGTGGAAGCCAGAAGAGCACCTTCAAGGTAGAAGAAGTGATCAACATTCGCAAGGGTGGCTGAGAAGCCAAATAAGGCAAGGACTGAGAGTGGACTGTGGAGTTAATATTGGGGGGTGGGGGGCATTAGCTGCCCTCAGAAGAAAGGTGTAGGTAGAGTGAAGGGTCAAAGCCTGATCGTCGTTAATTCAGGGGAAAATCGATGATGCAGGAGTGAGAAGGGGCCATTGTCGGCAGGACTGAGGGGATGAGGTGGGAGGGAAAAAGATTTAATGGACTAGTGAATGGGGCTCTTAGGCAGCAGCAGGGACAATCACCTTCAGAAAAAGCAGGGAAGGCAGAGCATCTGGGCCTTGAGATTGGTAGCTGCAGACGAGTGCTGCCAATCCTGACTCCTGACAGCTCTGTCTTTGCAATGGAAGCGGGGAGTGGGGCATGTGGCAGGTGAAAAAGGCCCAGCATGCAGAGGCTGGCTCTGAGTGCAAAGACAGAGGAGTGACATCATCTGACTTACATTTTGGAAGCTCCCTCTGGCTTCTGGGTTCAGAATAGACTGAAGAAAGGCAAGAGTGGAAACAGCCAGTTAAGAGGTTATTGTAATCCATGACAGATATATTTTTCCCCCAAGACTAGGATGTTGACAACAAACTAGAAAAATATCAGATTCTGAACACATTTTGAATACAGATAAAGGTGGAAAAGTCAGTGAAGTGCAGGGTGTTTTACTTTACCCCCAAACCAATACAACAAAACCAAGAGATGTTATTACAGCATTGAAACCAAAATCAATAACATTTCAGTTGCTTTTACTGACAACGATCCAGTTTTTAACTAGCACATATTCCAGAACTGTGGCAGTATCAATAAGTGATGCCAGTGAATACATAAAAATCTGTTGGCATTGCAAAGCATTAGAGAAATGGAAGCTGTAGTTAAAAGCAAGGCATCTGTGTCTGTTCCAATATGCCAACTGGCAGGGGTGAATCAATAAATCACAGAAGTAGTGTAGAAAAATATTTCAAGCCTTCCAAGATCAAAGAATAGATTGTAAAATATTAACTTGATGTCCTTTTAACTATTTTTTCTCGATATTTATTAGTGTTTGACCTCCCTTGAAACCTGAGTTCCATTATAAGCTCTTTTGGTTAATGGATTGAAAGGTTGTTTTGGAGCACTCCTGCTTCCCTAAGTATTTTCTATTCCCCAGTGAAATACTATCAGTCTGCATTTTACAGCAATGCTCCTCAGCATATCAAAAACACACATCTCTGTAAGGGTGCTGGCCTGTCTCTCGCTCCATCCTCTGCCTCCCATAACTACATGTATGGAGATACTCCTACAGATAAAGTGTGGATATACAAATTTGCACATCATGGTAAAAGTGTCATAAAATCCTCCACCCCTGGTGGTTCATAAGGCCTAATTTAAACATATTGAATTAAATATTTAGGGCTTGCAACAGCCAAAATACACAAGGAGCCAAGTCCTTCTCTTCGTATTTATAGCAGGCAATAATACAAAACTTCCAGGAGAGTAAAGGGCAGAAGTCCTTCCTGCTCTTTCCCTATCTCAGGTTTAGTTTGGAAAGCATTCGGTGCTAACTTTTGCTACACAGATGCTCTGTGCCATCCTAAAGGGTATACGGGATAGATTTATGTAAGAATCACGGCAGTTTTTGATCAAACAATTCAACTTCTAGGATTTAATACTTAAAACAAAATTAAGGATGTGCAAAGATTTAGCCACAAGAATGTTCATTGCAGCATGGTTTATTAGAAAGAAAAACTGGGATCAGCCTAAATATCTAACAATAGCTGACTGGTTAAAAAAAAGAAAGTTCCATCCATGCAACTGAACTATGCATAGCCATTAAAAATAATGTCAAATACTTAAAGATACACAAATATGTCCATGGTAAAATTTGAAATAAAATTAATATGAACAGTCTGACCACATTTAAAAAGAAAATATATATTTACATGTATATATGTGCATAAAAGGCAATCAGAAGCATTACCTTTGTTACAGTAGGGAGTCAGGCAGACACAAGCAGGGCAGGAGAACCCCCCTCCACCCTCAACCAAGAATGTCAGGAGACCATCAGGTGATGGTCAGGCAGTTGTTAATCTGTCTCTCTTAAATAATAATTGGTTGCAGCCGGTGCCAGGGAAAGGCTGTCTCCCAACAGATAGAAAACACCTGAAACTGGTGATCAGCTGCTTCCCAGTAAGATCTTAGGAGTTGGGTGAGTGGGCCCAAGCATGCGCACTACAAGGCAAAATGGTGGACTCTAACTGGTATATGACCTTCCTCTAGAAACACTCCACTGGTAAGGAAAAGCACCTCAAGTGAGCATGCGTACAACTCCAGTAAACACACTGCACCTGCGGCCCCTCCCAAGTGCTGGCAGGCCACTGTGCATGCGAACAACCCGCCCTCAGGGAAGAATAAGGGGAGAAGAGATGCAACCCCTGGAAAGCATGCCAACATATAAACCCCAAGTCAACGGTCTAACCACACAATCGAATCTCTCAAGTCTACTGCTTGGCCCTTCTCTGAGTGTCCTTTACTTCCTTTGGTTCCTGCTCTAAAATTTTTTAATTACCTTTCACTCTCACTCTAAAACTTGCCTTGGTCTCTCACTCTGCCTTATGCCCCTTGGTTGAATTTTTTCTTCTGAGGAGGCAAGAACTGAAGTTGCTGCGGACCCGTATGGATTTGCCGCCACTAACACTTCTAAATGTAGAATTTGCAGGCAGGTCATCCATTTTGCTCATCTATACTTTGTTCTAATTTGTCCATAGATATCGTATTACTTGTGTAATTGGCAAAGTACCAGTAAAACTTACTAAACATTATTCATGGTGGCACACATGTCTCACGGGAATACTGCCTGGCCAAACACAACCCCTGTTGCTCCTGACTTTGCTGGCTTTCTAGATATGTGGCTGTGTGTGAATCTAAGCCCTAAGATGGCCCAGAGATGGTCTTCCATGAATCTCTGACAGTTTGCTCAGCAATCAGGCTGACTATATCCTTCAGATAGCAAATGGAAGGAAATAGGAACAGCAGCAGAGATTCACTATCCATAGAACCACAAGGAACAGGGCGATAAACACAAGCTTCAAGGGGGATGTGCCACAGTGTTGGGTTCCTTTGCCTAAAAGCAAAAGGGGCTGTTCAGAGACAAAATGTAGACAGAACATCTGTTAGGGAATAAGGGTTAGGGAATAAGGGTATGCAGAGGCCAAGAGCAAAGGCCCAGAAAGAGAACATGAATGCTGCATGTTAGGTCAAATGGTCCTTGTGCTTTAAAACAACACGGTTAGGGAAATGCCAAGTAATTTCAGGAACAAGTCCCAAGCAATTTACAAAGACTCCTTTAAATTAAGAATGAAGTCCCTAAAGATCCAAATTCTAATACCTTGAACTTCAAACAAACTGCTTTAAAAGCAACACTAAAACCTTCAAATGGAAAGTAGATTAAGTGCATGCTCCATCTGTAAGAGCTTACTTACCACAAACTCAATTACTTGTTTCAAAATGAGATACAGGTTGGTTTGGATTTACTGATAGGCTTGTCCTGATAACTAAGAATGACAGATGTAAGGAGAGAAAGCTTCAGTTCTCTTGGTAACATTTAAAGTCAAACCTCTGGGTAAATGCATATGTAGGTAGCCATGCTTTGCAAAGCAAAACAGTGCCGCCTTGATAGGCAAAGTCAACACCCTATTGACTTTTATCTTTTGTGCCATCTATTTCAATGTAGGAAGTGCTGGTGCAAATTTGTCTTTGAAAGTAGTCAAGTTCCCCTCCCCTACATCTACCTCCACCCGACAGGGTAATGCTTGTTCCAAAGAAGTATTTTCTTTCTGCCATCACCCTCTGTTCAGTTCTAGAATTTGCTCTTATCCAATGTTGGCCTGTTTTCCAGTTCTGAGCAGAGGGCAAAGCATGTGTGCCTCCCTCTCCCGTCGGCTTACTCATGCCTAACCCGCAGTCCTGCTGGCCTTTGGGACGCTGCCAGCATCCCCCTCTCAGAGACATCTGTTGCCTTGCTTAAACCAAGAAGCCTCCCAAGCATGTGACGGGGCCATGCAGAATTAGAGAGTGCCACCTCCAACAAGAGGCGTATGTCCACCTCGCCTCTCCCTTGTCATTTCCTCCTCTAGCCTCAGCCTCAACAAGTGGCCGAGCCTCACACAAGCTGTCAGGGACAGATGCTATGTGAAAAGAGGAAATTGGACTCAAAGATGCTACAGCTTTTTTAATTAAGTCCAACCTACAAGCCAAATAGCGAGGCATGAAATGAATACTTACTTGCAAATAAGCACCACGTTTCTCAAAAACAAATGCATTGATTCGGGTTGGTAGGCACCTCCTGAGCTTTCTCAAAAATCGTATTGTTCCTCATTCAGTGCCTCAGATAGTTTCACCTCGGCAGTGGGAAGTGCATTTTGTGCTGGAACCTGGAGATTCTAAGTTTCCTTTTGTGATTTTCTTCCTCCGCCATCCCAGGGCTAGTTGAGTTGGCACGATGAAGCGTGTCCATACATAGCCAAATGCTCATTCTCATCTATTCGTCCCTTGCCCCCCTCACTCCTGCAAACCCCCTGAGTGCCCACTACATGCCTGGCCTGGCTTTCCATTCTAAGGAAAATGAAGACTAACACTGTTGTGGTTTCTGTCTTCCCAGCTCCCTAAGCTAGTTCTACTTACTCGCTTTGTCTCCATTTTCTCTAGTTTACTATTTGTTTTCAATTCTGGTTCCTTATTGTTCCTCTCTGCGTGCTGCCTGCTAATTAAAGCTGACTAGAGCCACTGCTGCTATTCTCAGCTGAAACGGCCAAGCTCCTTGATTATTAAGACAGTGAGGACTCAGGAAGACCACATGGATTTTTGAGACAGAAGAAAATGGGGGAAACAAAAGGATTAAACAAATCCCTTTGGAGATAGAAAGAAAAGAAATGGGAGTAACCCTAAAATATACACCACACATTCTAAGGAATCATAAAACGCAGATGAGTCTCATTAACAGTTACATTTTTCTAATTTCTTTTCCATCATTTCACAACCACAGGGAAAATTAAACATGTTATTTTAAGGTGCTGGAGAAAGCTCTTACATACTTCAAAATTAATAACGAAGGAACCTCAGCTATCATATCCTGCCTGTTTTACAAACTGGGAAACCAGCGAGAATTGACTTGTCCAAGGCCACACGGCCAAGCAGTTGCTGAACCCAATGGAGATTCCTAGATTTTCTTATTTGCTCCCTATTCCTACCCACAGCTCCAGCCAACTACCCACCTTCCCCATTCAGTGTGTTTTTAAATTTTTAATTTATGTCTAATATACTTTTTATTTTTATTTTTCACATTTTATACTTTTATCATATTGTCATTTTTAAATATTGCATGAATTGGAAATAAAGGACATAAAGTATATGCTTGTTACAACAATCTAATTGCAATGTTCTGAGGTTTCTTAAATAATCATGACATGCAGTATTTTTTAAAGAAATGCTGAAGACTAAATTTCAAACAAATGCAAG